GGGGGGGGGGTGACCTGTGACAGCAGCAAAGGTGAAAGGTCAGAGTTGGATCACAGTAGTCAGACCTGCTGGGAAAACACAGAAGACTGAGGTGGAGGACAGGAGCAGACCTGGTCAGATCAGAGGGACGGGTAGGTGGAGCAGGCTGTGGATGAAGGTAGAGGGGGGAGGAGAGGTGAGGAGAGGTGAGGGCGTAAGGTAGGGTGAGGAGAGGTGAGGTTTGTATTTTTCTGACATATTATGTGAATCAATAATAATTTTCGTGCATTTTGTATAGATTCTCTGATGACATTTGAAGATTAAAGAACTGCTGCGCCCTCTTGTGGTGGAGCTGAATAGACAACTGCCAGGCTGCTCTATCAGTCGGGAGTGAGTATTTGCTGTCCTCTTCTGGTAATATGTGGTAGTATAAATACTTGAAGTCATTCTTTGAATTTAAACACATTGTTAAAGATGAAAACACCAACATTTAACTGGTTTATTGGTTAATATTTATTGGTTTATTAGATTAACACTGACGTTCAGAGAAACACTTTCCTCTGAGTCAGAGAAATCTCCACCGGAGACATCGTCAGGTCGCCATCTTTGTAAATGAGCCATCGAACCTCTGACCAGTCCACCACTGGAAAGGAAATACCTCAACCCTAACACGCCACCTGTGAAACTAGAGGAATTAAATAAGTGGAACATTTTCAGTGCATTAAAAAATGTTAAAATTGTTATTTTAAGTGTTAAATGTTAGCTCAAACCGCTAACGATTAGCTTAAAAAAACAAAACATGAAGAGTGGAATGGATGCTCTCGACATATTTACATATGTAGGGCAAAGGTCAGAGGACTCATCAACCTGTCCATCAGTCCCTGGTCTGGACTTGGGACTTGACTGGATTAGACTGGACGCAGCAGGTTCTTCTTCTGATGTCGCTGTGTGTTTTACACTTTTACATCAACTGTCAACAAAGTGTTTGAAAATCTCTTCTTCTTCTTAATCAAAGATCTTCCTCTTGAATTATAATCAGGTTTTGTAATACATCTTTTCTCCACACAGTGGCACTATAACAGTGCAGATGAGAGGTGCTGTACATGCTGTAAGGACAATAAACCAAACCAAACATTCAGTACATGTGATCTAAAGGGACAGGGCTTTGGAGAGGCTACTCGGCGCCACCCACAGGTCAGGGAGGGGCGCTACATGCCACTCCTTTAATAGTAGTAAAGAGCAGAGTCAGAGCTGAAGTGAATTGGATTTTTTTCCCTTGTCTCTTCACAAACATTCAGATTAGCATGTAGCTGCTCCGTTGTTGTCAGGATGTCTGTGTTCCCGATGACTGACCCGCCGTCGTGACCCACTCTGCTGACAGAGGACACGGCCCAATCTGTCGGCAGTTCATGAGTGAAATCATATCCAATTACATGGCCGTCATCTTTGATCAGGGACATAACAGAAGGGGGGGGGGGTGGTGAAGGGGGGGGTTGTAAAGAAGACCACTCACTCACGTTGATGTTGGCAGGTGTGACTGAACACTGATTAAAACATGAGAGGACAGAGGGACTGGAAACAGTTGGTAGTTTGAAACCCCGATCATCAGGAAGAGAGAGATATTAGCCTCGCTGTCGTTGTTACTGACTGGGATGTTTGGGACGTTCAGGTACAGCAGCACTGTGGTAATTAGGAGCATGACTAACGAGCTCTGTGTCTTCATCTCCTCACAGCTCCGGCTCCGTGACTTTCACGCCTTACTTTGTGGATCCCTGTGGAACAGAGTCACCTCCCGATGTCACAATTACACCAGCATGACCAATAATACCACTGTGCCAATCAGATCACAGATGACAGTGGCAGAGGATGTGGGGGGGCAGGGGGGCGTGTTAACCTCCTAATGTCCAGGAAGATGTACCAACATCAGCAGAAGAATAAATAATTCAGGTTTGTTGACGTTGACCAAACACTCAGCTGATATGATTCAGGATTTAATGTTCAAGATTGTGACCAAATCCAACAATCCTGTGTTTGTACAATCATTTTTTTATTTCAGCCAATGAGAATCGTCGACATTCACGCTGTGAACTGAATGGTATGAGGAGGTAGGAGACAAAGGAAGGAGCTGAGAAAGGTGACATGAATACAACAAGTACTGTCTGCACAGACACCGGTGTGAGGAGGGGAGGGGGGAGGAGAGAGGGGAGGGGAGGGGGGGGGGGAGGGGGGGGGGTTACAGGAGGTGCTCCG